TGGATGCCAGAAGAGAGGGTCATAGGTAGTTCTGAGCTCCCAGTGTGGATGCTACAAACTGAATCCGGGTTCTCTGCAAGAGCAGCAAGTGCTCTTAGCTGTTGAGCCATCTGTTGAGGCCCCGCCTTTTTTCTGTTTTTGACATTATTGGTAGGTAAGAACTCATTGTTGCTATTTTGTTAGTTGTGTTCTGGTTGTCTTGTTTTTTAATCCTTTCTTGCTCTTGTTTGTGATTAGGTGCTTTTATGCAGTGGTATGCTTTGAATCCTTTCTATTTTTACTCTGTTGGTCTACTAACAAGTTTGCTTTACAGTTACTATCAAGCTTATATAGAACACCTTATGCTTGTAACAACCTATTGCAAGCTAATAGCCATTTGACATTAATTCCATTAAACTACTTTTTCATATGCCCATATTTTTCAGTTTATGTTAGAGCTTACATCATTGTGTAATGTAGATCCCTTGACAAGTTATTTTTAGCTATAGTTTTTATTAACAATTGTGGCTTTTAACCTCACAGTAGGGATAACAGATTACCGTCACACCAGCATTGTAGTCCTAGAATATCCGAAATATGGCTTTGTTTTGCTTATACCACTGAGTTTTTGTTTTTATGTTTCTTATTAATAACTAGTAGCTTCAGCAGTTCCTGTAAGGCAAGTCTACTGGTAATGTGCAGTGTTACTAGTCCACATTGCAGTTATACCTTAATAAACAAATAGCCTGACTCCTAATCTTAGTTATAGGAGCAGACCTGAACTCGGAGGACTGCTGTTCCTCTGGATGTCTTCTGCAGCTGTTGTGCTCCCAGGCTTGGCCTCACTCATACTCTCATTCAAAACCATTTTTCCAGCCTCAACTGGGGAAGTACAAGTTTGGATCCCCTCTTATCTCAGAGAAGCCTGCCCTTTCATTCCTAGGCCTAAAACAGCTCATGTACACAATGTCATGCATTCTTCTCAGTTTTCAGATAGGAAGGAGAACTCTGTTCAGTGCTTTGATTTGCTGACTCAACCACACCCACATCTTTCACTGTTTTGGGTGGACTGCCAAGCAGTGTTGGAGGGATCAAGGTCAGGTGTCTAGGTCATTAGAGTACAAGGGCTAAGTGAGCTTGTTTGCTTTATAAACAGTAGCTTTTTGGTTGCAAGGTTAAGTGAAAGTCCTTAATCTATATTCTGTCCATTTTGTGACAGTCATCCTACACAAACTTCTTTTGCCTTTTGTTGATTGGGGCCAGTGTCTCACTATTTGATCTTCGCCTGGGGTTACAGGTGTGCACCACTGTGCCCATTCTTCCTTTACCCTTTGCTTGTCTCAGGAAGTTTTTATTTCTCCTTCATTTATGAAAGACAACAGAAAAAAAGGTGTTATCAATGGCAGGTTTTTCTTTTATCACTGTGAACACAGCATCACGCCACACTCTCTTGGGCTACAAAGTTTCTGTGAAGAAATCTGATAGTCATGTCATGACTCCCTTTTATGTGATGCATCTTTATCTTTTGTTACTCTCATGGTGTTTCTTTTGTGTTTAGGTGTCATGTGTCCTGGTGTGCTCTTTGTGTTGGATTTACTGGATGACATCCAATCTCAAATCAGGGAAGTTTTTAGCTATCATTTCCTTATATTCACTTTCTGGCCCTTTGCCTCTTTCTCCTCTTTTTGCAACTCCTGAAATGTGAATATTTGGTCTCTGTGGTGTCCTGTAATTCACAGACTTTCTTCTTCATTATTTTTATCCCTTTGAGTGATTTCAGATGTTCTTTCTTTCACTTTACTGGTTCTTTTGCCTAGAAGAGTCTGCATTGAGCTTTTCATTGACGTTTCAGTTTAGTCATTTTTTTTTTTTTTTTTTTATCTCTAGGATTAAAAAAAAATTCCATTTGTCAGACCTCTCAGTTTGTTCTTCCTTAATTTTATTATCCTACAGTTCACTGAATTTCTTTATGACATGAGTATTATTCTACATCCATTGTCAGTCATTTTATAGAGCTCCATTTCTTTGGGGTCCATTATTGGAACCTTATCAGTTTCTTTCCAAATTCTGTGATATTCTTATTCATTTATTTAGTTTTTTGACACAGGTTCTCATGTAACCCAGGCTGACCTTGAACTCACGGTGTAGCCTAGGATGACCTTGATCTTCTGGTCTTCCTGCCTCTATCTCCTAAAAGCTGGGATTACGGGTGTGAACTTCTGTGCTCAGTTTATGAATAAGGTGCTGGGGATCAAACCAAAGACTTTGTGTACGTTGGGCAAGGACTCTCCTAAATGAACTACATCCTCATCCCAGTGATTATTCTTGGTAATACTTGTACATTTATAATGTTGTACTCTCTTCTGGCTTTTATACCCATGACAAGGATAGACTCACTTTATGCCTGTGACTCTGGAGGATCAACTAGTAACAACCACATGGGACAAAGCTTGTGTGTTCTTTAGTTGGCTTGGTGGATTCTGGTTAGGCTGGTTATGACATGGGGAGAAAGAGGGACATATATGTGTGTATATATATATATATATATAGCTGTCTGTGTACATCTGAAACATGGATTTATTTATATTTGACATATGCATTCACATTATGTGTTCAGGGACACAGAAACATGTATATATATTTTTTGGATCTTTTTGAGACAGGGTCTCCCTGTAGCCCCAGCTGGCCTGGAACTCACTATGTAGACCAGGCTGGCCTTGAACTCACAGAGGTCCGCCTGCTTCTGCCTCCCAAGTGCTGGGACTATAGGTGTGTGCCACCATGCCCAGCAAACTGTATATTTATATCTGTACAGTAGGATGATGTTTTGGGTTCCTTAAAATTTTTTTTTCTTTCTTTCCTTGTTTATCTATTTATTTGTGTGTACACACACTGAGGCCAGAGGATAACGTACAGGAGTTGATTCTCTTGTTGAGGCAGAGTCTCTCTTTGTTTTTGTGGCTGTGTTGTATATTCCAGGCTAGCTGGCCCACAAGCTTCTGGGTAATTTCCTGTCTCTACTTCATTCTCACTGTGTGAGTGCTGGAATTCCAGATGCGTGACTCAGTATTCAGCTTTTTTTGGGGGGGTCTTTTCGAGACCGGGTCTCCCTGTAGCCCCAGCTGTCCTGGAACTTACTAGGTAGACCAGGCTGGCCTCGAACTTGCAAAGATCTGCCTGCCTCTGCCTCCCAAGTACTGGGATTAAAGGCATGAGCCACCATGCCTGGCTACTTTTTATGTGGGTTCTGGGGATCGAACTCAGGTTGTCAGAGCTGCACCATTGGTACTTATGCCTGCTGAGCTGTCTGCCCAGTCTTTACCGTGGATTCTTTTAAACCCAGAGTACTTAATGTACTTAAAGAATTACACTGCTGTGAATATTGAATACAAATTGAATTTTGGGTCAGTTTTGTCCCTTCATTTACCCAACATTTAAAATGTCTTTTTTTTTAAACTAAAAAAAAAATTATTGAGAATTTCATACATGCATTTAAGGTTTTTTGATCAAATCCACTCTCCCCTCCAACTCTTCCCATATCTCCCCATCACTTTTTCCTGACAACTTTGTCCTTCCTTCCTTCCTTCCTTCCTTCCTTCCCCTTCCTTCCCCTTCCTTCCTTGTTTCCTCATCTTCCTTCCTTCCTTCCTTCCCTCCCTCCCTCCCTCCCTCCCTCCCTTCCCTCCATCCTCCTCTTCCTTCCTTCCTTCCTCCTTCCTTTCTTTCTTTTTCTTTCTCTTTTTCTTCCTCTCTCTCTCTCTCTCTTTCTTTTTTTATGTGGCTTTCTGCTACTCTAACATTCCCTCCTCTGAAGAGTAACCCCAAACCTTACAGTGTCTGATAAGGAGCAGGACTGCTGACTGGCTGTTTCCAGTGAGTTGTGCTCATTTCCTTTTAGGTGCCACATTCACATAATTGTTCAAGTTTCCTTCTTACCACATTTTGGCCAATACAATATAATTTTGTCCCAGTTTATTGAAAAGTAGAATAGTTGGGAAATTATAAACTTACTTGGTCTCTAGTTAGTTCTTATAGAAAGAAAGTCTGTAAGCCCTCTTACAGAGGATTTAAAAATGATTTTTATTAAACCTATTTAAATATAGTTCATAATTAAAACTCTTACCCTTCTACATCAAATATCTGAGTTAAACTCTTAGGGTAACTACTGTTAACAGTGCTTAAATAAACTTCCAAAAATGTTCTGTGTATGTACAAATCTATGTGGGGTGTGAATATGCGTTTGTGATGTAATTGTTTACTCCTGTATGCAAGATCTTTCTCTCTCTATATATGTTTTAAAAAATAAATATATTTTGAATGGCTTAAATATATTTTCCCCACATGCTTAAGGAAAATTGAACCAAATTGATGTATATTAAAATGTGACTATTTTGTGCATGTTTATTTGAATGCTTCTAATTGTAAATTAGGAATAAAATTTCTTTAGTGCAGTTTAATAGCATATTATATGTTAAAATCTTGTTTTGTATTGAAAAATATTAGTTCGTATGGGAGCTTTTGTCCTTAATGTATGTTTTAAATGTTCACCATGTTGAAAATACTGGCTGTTCAGGGAGTGAGATGACGCAGGTGTTGTGAGAGTTGGGAGCTAGGGTGGTGGTCTCAGGCCTGTAATGCCGAGTTGTTTGCTTTGCTTTGCTCTTCATTTTTTTCTCTCCCAGTATTGGGATCAGATATAAGCCTGGTACATGCTGGACACATTACTTTACTGATAAATTAAATCCCAACTTGCGTTTTTACTTTTTAAAGCAGTGAGCATGTCCTATTTTCAGTAAAATGGTGATGGAAAACTAGAAAATATTTCTGAAGCATGTAATGATATAAAGGCAAACTTAAAACTTTTTGTTCTTTTTCTCTCCCCTATCCCTACTTCTCCTTTAATCTACCTTCCTGAGTGCTGGGATTACAAACCTGTACCACCATACCTTTTAAGTTAAAGTTTTGTTTTTTTAATCATTGTAACTAAGCTCACAGTGTGCTTTTATTAATTCTGTGCTTAGGCGTGTGTGGACATAAGAGCCAGTTCAGTGTTTTGGCAACAGATGGAGTTTGCAGAGCGTCTCCATGGTTATCCCAAGTTGCCAGAGTGGTTATCGACACATCCCTCTCATGGTCATCGAGCTGAGCACTTGGATAGGCTTATACCACAGGTGAGCCAACACTGCTAATGCCGTTACTTCTTTGGTATAGAGAGTTTTAGTCTGCCAATTATTCTGGTTACTATAATTATTGATTGTTGGTCTTCAAAGAGTTGGGCTAAAAGGTCTTGCTTACTTATAAATCTTGGGCAACAAATTGGTATGGTACAGATGATTTTTCTCAGTGGTGAAGGTTTAACTCTTTAGTAGGAGTTAGAATTGTAGCTGATTTGATAACATTTTAAACCTTCAGGTGGGCTTGAGAATGTAGCTCAGTTGATGAATTCTTATCTAGTATGCAGGAGACTCAGTGTTTGATTCTCCCGAAACCCATAAACTGGGTGTGGTGATGCATACCTGTAATCTCAGTGCTTGGGAGGTAGAGGCAGGAGGATCAGAAGTTCAAGGTCATCCTTAGATATACAGTAAGTTTGAGGTCAGCCTGGGTTACATGAGACCCTGTCTCAAAGAAAAAAAGTAACAAAGAAAAAACAACTTGACACATGGGTTTTTTTATTCTTCAATATTTCAGTCATAATTTGATCTTTCCTTGGTGATATAAGCATTTGCTTTAAAATATAAGTATTTTGTTGAGCATTTTTGCATCCATGTTCATTAAGGATATGGGTCTATAATTTCTTTCTTGGTTGTGACTCTAGGCACGAGTCAAGGACTTTCTTTTCTCCCTACAGCTAAGAGTTATGCCATTTGGGAATGTTTTAGACAGACCCACTGAAGGGGTCCCCCAATTGCCTCACCCTGTGTCCCTGTTCAGCATGGAAGAAGCCAGAGCAGTCTGTGTCCCAATTCTCTATCAGCAATTTGGGTAGCCTCTTCAGGGGATGGTGTGATAAGAATAGGAGGTAGGAATTGGCTAAGCAGTTAGGGTAAAAAGACCACAAAGAGGGGCTGGAGAGATGGCTCATCAGTTAAGAGAACTGACTGCTCTTGCAGAGGATTCAGGTTTGATTCCCAGCACCCACATGGTGGCTACGAACTGTCCTTAATTCCAGTTCCAGGGGAATCCGAAGCCCTCTTCTGATCTCCGTGGCATTGCACGACATGGATGCACTCACATACATTCAGGCAATACACTCCTACACATAAAATAAAAATAATAAATAAAATTTTTAAAAAAGACCACAATGAAAAGTAGCCAGT